CAACCAAGTATCCTGAACATAGAACAGCTCACTAGAGCTTGACTAATCACAACCAAGTATCCTGGACATAGACCAACAGCTCACAAGAGCTTGACTAATCACAACCAAGTATCCTGGACATAGAACAACAGCTCACTAGAGCTTGACTAATCATAACCAAGTATCCTAGACATAGAACAACAGCTCGCTAGAGCTTGACTGAGCTGTTGTTCTATGTCCAGGATACTTGGTTGTGATTACTAGAGCTTGACTAATCACAACCAAGTATCCTGGACATAGACCAACAGCTCACTAGAGCTTGACTAATCACAACCAAGTATCCTGGACATAGAACAACAGCTCACTAGAGCTTGACTAATCATGACCAAGTATCCTAGACATAGAACAACAGCTCGCTAGAGCTTGACTAATCACAACCAAGTATCCTGGACATAGAACAACAGCTCACTAGAGCTTGACTTAATTCCGGAAAGCTGAGAAAAGTGGAGATATCATTAAAGCTGGTGTACTTTACTTATCAATTGGAGGGGTTTCAATATATTAATAGTTAAATGTGAAGCTTCTCATAGCTTCGTTAGGAATATTGCATACTTTGTGAGATAGTAATATAATCTGTTTTATTTAGTTTTATTGATGAGTACTTTCGATCCTACATTGAGATGCTACTTTTCTGTTCTACCACTGGTTCTTTTGACAATAAGATAATAAAATCTGACACACTAAAGCTCTTTGTGTATCCAAAGGATCTAACTTCTGTGAAATGAAATGTTTTCCAAGCTACAAAAGTGAAGCAGTATTAAAGGATAAGAAAGGCTATAAGAATTTATTTTCTTTATTTTCGATACTCTCAATCCATCTATACGACTTTGAAAGAGCAGGTTGTTTTACCTGCTAACAAGTGAAAATATCAAATCCTCATCATGTATGGTTTATCCACTCTGGGTATTGGAGAGTGTTCTATCATTTCGATTGCTATGTGTTCAACCCCTTCAATCCCAATGGTGTATGATTTGACCATACAAAACAAATCATAGCTAATGTGATAAAAATAAGCACAGTCAAAATCTTCCCTTTGGTTGTGCAGTAGTTATGCTATAAAGTATTAAAAATTTTCTCATCTAATCCGCTGTATCCTTGATACTGTCACAGCAGTGTCCAGGATATATATAAAGAATTTGGATAATAGTTTCAGTACGATATCTTTAAAAACCTGAATGTGGTGTCAAGTTTCTACACATGATGAGCATCCTTCATGGTTAATTACAAAAATGGCGAAACTGAACATCTGCTTGTTACTTTTTGTTTCTTTTTTCAACTACTCCCTTCCAGCTCAAAATTTGTCTACATTATTCCATTTTTTGCACTATTCCAATAATGCTCTCTATTTTAGGTCAGTTCCCAATACCTAAAGGAACTATACTCATTTTGTCCTCCAGTCAGCTGTAAGTTTACGGACTTACAACGCTAAAATCTGGGGTTCGATTACCAGGGGTAGACAGAGCGCAATATAGTCCACTATGTAGTTTTGCGCTATAAAAACAACCACAATATACTCAGGTTCTTTATTAAAGATGCTCCATACAAATATGTCTTGCCAAATACAACATATCACTAACAAAGACCAGGCGCAAGATACTATTAGCCATTAATAGGTGGCAGTTTACTTAACAACCAAACCTTAACCCCATTTTCTTATAAGTATGTTTTATTTTGGCATTCACAACCAAGCTGAATACACCAGTCCGCTGAGGTAGGATACACAGTGATAAATCTCCATATCTACTTCAGTTTATCCAAATATTCGACGGTCTTTAATCGGGGGAAGTTTACAGTAGCCACTCAACAAACGTAAACATAGAATCTTATACCTTTTACCTTACTTCATTATGGCCATTAGTGACGACCTTGCACTATTAGGGCCATGTCACAGAGTATTCAATCAATTCAAATGGTGTTAGCGGAGCAATATCTTGCCTAGACAAGCACTATCAGAGCATATACATATAGTTTTGAGTAAATAACGTTCTTCCAGTTGGCCATTTGACCCTGAAAGTGTTTCAACACATTATAATATTTGATTTTTGATCACAAACGCTTCACTTGTTGCTGTGGAAGCTAATGAAGATTGACATTGCGTTGTTAAGTATTTTTATTATTGCTAACCGTGGACAAGTTAACAATGTCGCTTTATTGTGTCACTAGCACAGTCTATTTGTTTTCTAAACGGTTCATTTGGAATAGTTCATAATTGCGGAGAATAATGAGTATGGTGTCTGTTTCTACAAACCCATTGTTATACCCACAGATGAATGAATGAATCCACAGCTATTGATACGGAATTTCTTTAGTGTAAGATACTTTCAAAATGTCTGTGAACCAATATAAACAGTATTGTTTGTAGTTGAATTTGCCGAGTTTAATGAACATTCACATGATTGTTTTGTAGTTCTACAAGAAGCTCTATATGTTATGTTTAATGAACGTTCACATGATTGTTTTGCAGTTTTACAAGAAGCTCTATATGTTGTGTTTAATGAACGTTCACATGATTGTTTTGCAGTTTTACAAGAAGCTCTATATGTTGTGT